GTACCTGCTCTATTTCCCTCGGGACGTGAATGATCTGCACCTCACACTGAACCAGAAGAGCCTTTTCCTGATAGAAACGGCACTTACTGAGTCATCAGAACAAAGTCTGCCATAAATGCAAAATAATTTTAGGTAAGCTTATATGCGTACCTATCTAGCTAGACCTAACGCTCGTCTCTGAGGTAGGCTCAGCCTCCTCCTCCCCAGGTTCTTCGTGTTGGGAGGGATCTGGATCTGCTCTCCAGGGAACAGCTCTTGGTGACCAGGACAGGGAGTACGAGCTGCATCGAAAACTTCCCTGCAGTTGTGTGCACCAGAGGCTGAGCTGCTTGCTCAGTTGTGCCTCATCAAAAGCAGCTCGTTGGTAAACAGTAAAACCTGTCAAACACCTGCAACACTCCGGTGGTCATGTCACCCCTGCCAAGGGAACAGCACAAGCCAGACAGGGGAACAACAGTGGCTTTGCTGCTGACGTGAAGGATGGCTTAAGCATTCCTGGTACATTCCTCTTGCATGCAGCGGGTCTGCTCTTCTTGGGTTTGGTTTTAAACCTTTTTAGTATTAGAGCTACCTGCTCAGCTCTGAACAGAGCCTCCCTGTAATCCCACAGGCTCAGTGGCGAAGGCGACAGAGATCCCAGCCCCAATTCGCACCGCGGGGAACAGCCTGCCACAATTAACAAACTGGAACTGCTTCTGCCAGATGTTTAGATGAAACTTAGCACTGGAAGCACCCGGTGTCTTCTGCACTTATTTCAGTCTTGAGAAATGATCAAGGAAAACCTGCAGCTTGCGTTGCTAAGTAGCCACCACCATAACAAACCTTTTTATGCCTTTTCTGGCTCATTGCTGCCTCCCTCAGCATCATCAAGACTAGCTACAGGTTTGCATTCATGTAATTACAAAACACAAAATGGTACATTTAGTTTATTTTCAGGGTCTCTCATCAGTTATTTGACCAATTAGAGAAACACTCCTAAGTTAAGCATCAAATTTGGCTTTTGAATCCAAATGCGAAGTTGCTTCTATTTTTTCTCACAGCATTGACTGTGGTTTCTTATTCCTTAAACATCAGCATTTATTTTGTTTTGGAGATTAGTCCCGTAGTCAAGGAATATGAGAAGCAGTTTAATTTGTACGAAACCAAATTTAGCTGAACTTTTCTGCAAAAATGCTCAGCAGTGGAACGGTTTATGGTATCCCAATCCCTTCATTTCCGAGTTAACAATCCACTGCGATGTGTGGTACATGCTGCCTGGAAAGCACGTAGTGGTGCTAATTCTGGCTTACTCTCAAGTAAGATGAGGACTGGATGCATTAACTTTCACAAAATGAACAGAAAGCTAGTGCAGACACATCCTCTGGCAGAGGCTGGACTTGAGCTCTGTCATAGAAATACCCAATTTGAGGGAGGACATTCAACTTCTGCCTTGGAAAAGCAGCATATTAATACTGGTGTGCAAGCTGATGATAAACATGCCAATCCACCAGTTTTAGCCAGTGCTGGAACTCCTGAATCAAACAGCATTACTGTGAATAATTTTCTTATACTGATTTAACACACATGCAAAGCTGGCACAGCCACCTGTAAAAGCAATCCTTACCCCTTCCCTTCTCTGTTCTCCTGCCTGATGCTTCTTGTGTTATGCTGGCACAAGTTTCTGTACGGCTGCCCAGTACACAGGATGTAGGAACTGATCCAGCTGGAGAAAAAACCCGTGTTTCCTTTGGTGGGTTTTACCCTGAATCAGTTCCCACCATCCCCAAACCCAGATAACTAAATTGTACAAATAATCGCCAGCGCTACCTGGGCACTGCAGGGCAGGGAAGGGGAAAGTATTCCAAGAAAGTAGCAGAACAGCTTTACTTAGAGAGGAGTCCTTGCACAGAGAACGCTACTGGCTTTAAACCCCCATCTGCTCTAGAAGGATGCTAAGCGTCATGAGCAAATCGTGTTTCTCATCCCATGTATTCTTGATCAATGTCAAACAACATTTACAAATATTCATGATTAAAGGTCAACCACACAGCCCTCAATTGTGTAGTGTTAGTTTCAGGCTATGTTATAATATTTAATGTTTTTATTGAAAACAAATTTGAGCAAACAAGAAAAGCAGGGGTGTGGGGATGGGAGAACATGTAGAGACCTAGCTCATGACAGCCAAGCTACTTCTTGTGTCCTTCCTGGCTGCTGGGGAATAGCTAGGGCCAAATGAAATTGGAGGGTGTGTTCTCCCAGAAAGTTTCTGGCACTTTATTCTACTTATAACACAACATTAACATTAATGTTTGGCTAATATTTTCTCCTAGCTAGTTTTGGGATTTTTTTTGGACTCTGCATGAAAATGTGAATGTTAAAACAGCTCCTGTGAGAATAATAAGGGAAAACCTTCCCTTTTTCTACCTCCTGTTCTTGTCTCTCCAGTGGCTTTATCAGACCTTCAGGGGTTAGCAAGAAATGCAGAGAGAATCGTCCTTTCTTCCTTGTGTGTTGGGACAATGTTTCCTGGTCCTTTAGCTTTTCTATATATTCATCTTGCAGCAGTTCACAGTATGTAGCCTAGCCAATTCTTGTAGGTATAACAAGGGAAAAATCCTTGAAAAAGCACAAGCAGGAACATGATAACCACTTAAGAAAGTATGTTCTATGAGTAGCGGACACTTGAGAGCTTTGGAAACAGAAAGACTTACCAGAACCCCACTCCCCCTGCAAAACAGTAAGCTGTTACGTACCACCGCACAGACACACATGTGGTAGTGGGATGACAATAACGTGGGGTGACAAATAACCCTTTGAAGTTTGCCTTCCTCTATTTGCAGGTGTAGGAGCATGTTAGCTGGAAAGACCAAAGCAGAAAAGACAATCTAGTGTCTACAAATGACGGGCACAACTTAACATCCTTAACACCATATCCCTGACCCTCCAAAGTCCCTGAAACAAAGTTGCAGGTGACAGCTGTCACTTAAGTTGCTAACCAAATTGGTTTAAAATCCTGAAGTGTGAGCTCTAGTGATACATTCAGCCAAAACTTTTAGCTAAGTTAGAATCTGCCTTATAAATGTCTTGTGAATTACAAAGAGTCCTCTACTCATAGCCTTCCCAGAAGGGGAGAGCTATTTAACGTACAGATGTAGATAACATTACCTGCCTGACTTCCTCCCTTCGGCTCCAGTTGGAATGAGAACGGAGCTCTCTCGAGGGGGAACTGGAGCAGTATGTCTTCAAGGTGGTCAGACACGCAGGGCAGGAATTCATTCAACAACTGAATCTCCTCGCAGGAGTATTTCCTTAGATTCACGAACTGTTTTCCTCTTCACCCACCAAAAAGGAGTAATTTGGAAAGCAGGGCATGCATAGTAGTCACTGATGTAAATATTTTAGATTTGCAGACAGAACAAACCTGCTGCCACAGGGGAAGACTGAGCACTGAGGTATTCACAGCAGCTCCTTCCCGCACTGGTGTGCTGTAATGCTATAGCCAAACACACTAGAGACATTCCAGCCTGAATGGTAAAGCAACAAGGAATACATTTTACAGTAATGTTATCGATCAAATCTGAATGCCTCACAAGATCGGTTTCTGAGGAGTAGATGGTGTTACTTACTGAACTGCTAGGAAAATGGCTTCTTACCTAGTAAGAAATAACTGAATGCTTATAGTTGATTGTTTTAATATCATTTAGACATTTCTTTGAAGAGCAACTATAATAAAATGCAGATGCTGTACTCTAAGTACTGCAATATCTTTGTAAAGAACAGCAGTCATAGGGAAAATCAAATAAATGCCGTGCAACAGATAGCCTTTCTGCATCTCATCATCTGTCTGCACAATAACAGACTAGGGAAACATACTTCTTGTAGATACACGACTAATATAGGAGCAAATGCTTTCTCTATCACCGTTCCTTAGACCTTATTCAACAGCTGATCAGTATGGTACTGCGAAGCCTGCTTTTTAAGAAATGTAAGTCTGTCAGTACTACTTGAAGGCCATGTTCAAAACCAGTAACAAATCCTGTACGTTATAAAACAGAGCTTGCATTCATTGCCTCAGATTATATTTAATGTCATCAGGCATATACATTTGCACAAAATCAACTTGTCATGAGTGCTAATCACAGTGGCATACCAAAGAGGAAAACTGATGACAAAAATGTCCAAGATTATTGATGTAAGAGAACAAAAAGGCAGAAAAGCTACCTTTCATTCTAGTTCGAGTACCCGAGTTCCCATATTTCTCTCCCTTACAGAGCTTTAACCAAAGGAATGAAAACAAGTCCTTATTTGCTGGTGCAGGCAAGCTGTACACATACACACACGCTCAGGCTGGCTCAATACAGACCAGCCTGCATCCCACAAGACTTATGGCACAAACAAAATCAGCCCGACTGCTTCCACAGGTAGCTCAAAAGCAGCGCAGTCACTTCTGCGTGAAGCCCAGCTTAAGTCAGTTTACTGGATCCAGGCTGGTTCCTCACCTTCCCGAGACAGCCAGTGTCAAACAGAATTCACTACGCCAGGCTCCATATAAGCTCTGCAGGCACCCGAGTGACTCCATGGGAGATGCACTGCTTCTGTAGGCTTGGATCCAGGTATCTAGATCTACCAGAGTGCACAACTTCCGAAGCACTGACATACCCACACGCAGAGGCTATTCTAGAAGCAAGGGAACAACAGCAGAGCTGAAAGAATTCAAGCTGGGTAAGTTCTGGCATTTAGAAGGGACTGGCATGGAGATGTAACACATTTTAGAGACAGTCTCCCCTGATTTTCCACATAGACATTCCTAGCATAGAATGCTTTAGCACAACCACAGTATGGCCAGGAAAATAACTCTTCCTTCCTAATGGTAAGAAATCTATTTACATATTCAAGCTTAAAATCTCTCAAAGAGCTAAATTGTTACACTTCCACTCCTAATACCAAAACAAGCACCCTGTAAATGCTAGGTCCCTATTATGTAAATGAAAGGTGATCAAACAAGATACAGAGCTAATACATAACAGCTTATAACACAACTTTTATTAGAAAAGTTATACATAACAGCATCAACTATTTTCAAGAATATTAACCGTGAAAAGCAACAAAACCAGACTAAAAATGTGTAACAAGAAACTAATGACCTTTTCTATAATTAAACATTCAAGTTATCTACAATGTCTCTTTTTACAAAGGGGAAAATCATGGTTTTACAGGCACATCATGTTGAAAATAAAGCTGCAGTAACTTTATACAATTAACTTTTTCAAGGATTATTAAAACATGGTCATCATGTAGTCTCAGATTTTTTAAAACATTCACATAATTTTACAGTTGAGTATACACTGAAATTTCAGAGTCCCAAAATTATTTCACAAAAGTGCCAACATTAAAACCAGAACCTTCACTGTGAATAATTTTGCCCTAAAAAAAGTTAAGACAGGTTTCCATAATCAACATATTCACATAATTTCTGGTGCTATCTGGTCTAACAGTAAAGCTTCATTCTTTGAAAGTAAAATCAAATGGGACTTCTTTTGCAAAACCGGTAAAATGTTTTGAACACAGGAGTGTGCATTATTGGAAAAATTGATACTAAAACCATAAATATATCCAAAGAGTCATTAATACACTACACAATTAAGTGGAACTGCGCCTGTTTGTACTATATATTCAAGTTTGTTGCCCTTTCAGTACGGGTGGTATCTGAATTTAGCATCTTTACAAAGGCAATCTGTTCAATTTCTCTTACTCTTATCTTCATATGCCTGCTTAATAAAAATCAGATAATTTACAATCTAGAAGTCTGTTTTAAAAAGTCTGGAGTTTATATACAGCTCTAACAAACCTAAAGCATTTTGATATCTTAAAAGGTTTAAATGAAATGACTAGAGTTTTTATTTGATGCTTATTAACAGTAATTAGCCATTATCAGTAGTGGTCCATAACGAGGTGATAAGTGAAAAGGAATGTTTCGTCTAAAATGTTTAACATATGTTCTGTCCTTTCATGTATGCAACAGTATCACGTAGAGGAAGTGCTTTCCACAGACACCCGTTTCCCCTTAGCATCAAGGGCTACAAAAAATCTGACTGCAAAAATGCAGTGACAAAGCAAGCTGACATGTCAGGCACTACCTTTCATATTGGCAGCTTTAATAGACCCACAGTATGCACAAAGATCTAGAGAAGGGGAAAGAAACCCACTACTATGAGAAGCAGACCGAACATTTTAGACGAGTTTGGCAAAGTTTTTGATCAGACAATAGGTTGGCCATTCAGGTTTACTTGTATAGGTTAAAGATATCACTATTGAATCAACTAGTCAAATTACTGTAAGACATTTTCATTGATACTCAACATTACATGCACCAATATTGCACACATCTGCTCTGAGTTGTTAAAACAATCTTCATCTGGGTCCTTGAGTTGTCTGGTTTCTGCAGCTGGAACTCAAGCCACCCACCCCAGCAGTTTCACTAAAACTTTAAGTGGTAAATTTAAAATACAAAACCCAAAATAACCCAAAAAGAAAACCAAGGACTTTATACAGACAATAAAATCTAAATTTTCTGCAACGGTCTTGTGGGCCCTACAGATGGGGCAATATGTGTACGCACTAGTGAAACAAACACTAGCTCTGCTGTATCTAACCATTCAAATAATATGAAATCGGGGACCAGGTGTTGCAATGATGTCACTGTAAGGCTCCTCCTGTGTCAGCTCTATAGCTTGCTGTTTTTTAAGTACCAGGAAACTGTAGAATTTTGCAGCTGCTTGTTTTCTATTCGTATTTCTGCACAGCTCAAGCAAACTGATAGATTCCGCTCCAGTCTTAGCAAGAGCTCTCTGAAAAACACAAACATTGATACCACAAATTAAATAAGAGAACTACATTCAAACAAGAATGTCCCTTGGCAAGATTCTGTTTGCTGTCACCCCCAGAACACTGCAAGGGACTGGGAAGGACTCAACATTGGATAGGGACATTACAACATGTACATGAAAATTTCTGTATGGATCTTATCCAAGTGAAACCAAGTAAGCTTCCCAGAGATGTGTGAAAAATCAGTCATGAATCTGTTGAACTTACTCCAGAAACACTGTAGTATAGCACAAGATTATTTTTTTTCCTGCACCAATAGCTAGCCAGTCTTTTTTTACTACAGGATAAGTACTTTTAAATGGGAATAAAAAAAATCCTGGTTTATTTCTCAAAATAAAAATAACTCAAAAAATAATCATGATCTGTTTAAAACAAAATTTCATTCAAGAGCTAACATTCTTTGAAAGATGCATAACTTTCCCAAGGTGAAAGCATGTTTATTTCTAAAACTCCTTTGTTTGTCTGAAATTAAGTACCCAAAGTTGCTTACATTTTTTCAAAATCTTGGCCAGAATATAAAACTTTAGGAAAATACATCTGTTTGCTGGCTAGAACAACAACTGACGTCTTCAATTTAAAACAGAACCGTCTGCTCTGGAATATCTACTAGATGAAAAGATATTAGGCTGGCCAAACCAAATTACTTTATAATAAACAGATCTTAACTTCGAATCCCATTACAGATGTTTCAGTCATCCACTGTGATGCTCTTTCGGGCACATGGAAGAAAGGCTCAAAAATAAAAAAAAAGCTACACATGGTCCAAAGAGAATTCTGAAGCTCTTTTCAGAAATTGTGATGAAACATTCACAGAGGAAAACATTACACAACGTTACCAACTAAGCATCTGTATACTTTAAAAATTACTTTTAAGCAAGATTTGTACTGGTTGGGGCTGGGACAAAGTTAATTTTCTTCACAGCAGCTCATATGGTGCCATGTTTTGGATGGGAGCAAATGTTTTTGTTTTGGAGCAAGTAGGCTGGGGGTGCACAAGAAGCTGGGAGGGGACACAGCCAGGACAGCTGACCACAACTGACCAAAGGGGTATTCCATACCATATGGCATCATGCTCAGCAATAAAAACTGAGGAAAAGAAGAGGGGTACGTGCACGCATTTAGGGTTATTGCATTTATCTTCCCAAGTAACCATTACGTGTAATGAAGCCCTACTTTCCTGGAAATGGCTGAATGTTTGCCTGCTGTTGGGAAGCAGTGAATGAATTCCTTATTTTGCTTCACTTGCATGCATGGCTTTTGCTTTACTTATTAAACTGTCTTTATCTCAACCCACATATTTTCTTGCTTTTACCTTTCTGATTCTCTCCCTCATCCCACTAGAGGGTAGTGAGCGAGCAGCTGTGTAGGGCTGAGCTGATTACCAGAGTTAAACCACAATAACAGTTTAAAACAATCTTACTTAAACTAGCAGAGTTCTTGCAGGTGTGCAGAAGAACTAACTTCAATGACATTAGTTTACAATGTAATCTAAACTAAATTTACGCATATTTAAGTGTCATAAAGGCTATTTAGGAGTTTAAAATTAAGGTTTCATTGTGTAGAGATGTAGGCAAGTAATTCTTACGATATAACTCTAATAACATTTTCCAGAAATGCAAAGTTTTTACTTGATTATATCATACTTTTGAGAAACTTAAAAGAATATGAAACACTACTAAATCTCAGTCTACTGAAAACTCAGCAGCATTGCCCTCCCCTCGCCCTGCCCGAATCCACCATACTGGAGCTTCAGAGATACAGTAATGACAATGACCTTTTATCAAAAGAGATGGACCCTATCAATTCCACAAAAAAGTGAGGATGACTTTGGAAAACCAATGCAGCTTAGAGAGATGGACTGAAACACTTCAGTGACAGTATAATCTCAGGAGTTGCCAAAATGTTTAAGGGAACGAATGCATAGCAACTGCAAACTAGACTGAGAGGCAAAGGTAGTCCAAGAATATATGAAGTACACATAAGGAGACCTATATGCAAACGGACAGCAGTTTGCACTTAAGTTCAAGGCTATACTAGGCGTGTTCAATTATCAGGAAAAGAGCTCTTTACTTCGAGCAAGCAAAAATCCATCCTACACAGATTATCTGTCTGTGCAGACTGAAGCCACATGCTGAAAAGCAATGCTGCACCTCAGCCACGGTCAGATTCCCACAGTTGTTACACACTCAGCTTATCATAGCATGGAAATTTTCAAACTAGCCTAGCTGGGAGTAAATATCCTGTAAAATGGTTTTATCCCTAGAACTTGACGGGCTTTGCCTAGGGCGACATACCACAAAGTCAGAGGTGCTAAAGTTTCATTAAAAACACAATCAAACCCAATTATTTTAAAATTTGAATTTCTGGGAGTCTTACATGTACACCAAGTGTGGACATAAAGGTTAAAAAACACTTAAGTGAAAAATTTTACTTCAGATGTCCTTTGGAAAAAAGTGACAATTAGATTATGGTTTAATCAATTACAAGCAGGTTTTTTTCCCCTCTAACACAGAATTGCTATTTTAAGTCTATAACATCTACTGCAAAGAAAGATCTTTCTTAACCTTTTAACTCAGGTCAAAAGCACTGGTGGGCACACTCAAAAGCTATTTTGAGATAAAGCAAATTATCATGTGTACCTGAAGTCCATGAAGCATTTGTTGAGTCCGCTTGTTCCATCTCCTTTCTTCTTGATCCTGATCACCCCCTGTGCCGTCTTCTTCCTGCAAGCAGCCAAAATTCATGCATTTAAAAAAAGAAAAATCTTTTCATCCATTGAGTTATGAAATGAAAGAGGTATTTCTCGATATCACTGCAGCTTTTTCTTTTCATCAAGCCAGAAGGTTTAGACAACTCAAGTCAGAGGATACATTTAGGAGAGGCAGGAAGTGACACGGAGGAAGACACACATGTCAGCTGATGTACCGTAGCAAGATTGCCTGCCACTACAATTATACCTCCAAATGTTATGCTGACAATTAGTAAAACAAAGAAGTTCAGTCATGACCGCTGAATGATAAGAGACGCTTCAGTCTAATCTAGGATTGCTAGTACTGAACATGGTACCAACAATGCTTTTATTTTGCAAATATTAATAAACACAGACATGTTCTCATTTCACTGTGGAAACAGAACCATTGAAAAGGAAAATACATTGTTGCTAAAAGCTGCAAAGGCCAGCTGTAACAACTCAGCTCCCTGTGTCCTATGAAGCACTCACCTATACAGAACAGTATTTGTTTATGGAAGTTGTGTTATATATGGCTTTTAAAGTAAGAACTTCATTTCAAATCAGCGATTAAAAAAAAAAATCACCACAAAAGCAACACATGCAAGCAGCATCTGCTTTGTTTCCAGTCTTAACTCAAGAACCTCAAACTGTGCAGAAAAACTGTTTGGCCAATTTTTTTATTTCTCAAAATTAAGTCAGCATGTATTTCTTCCTCTGATTGCATGACTTTTAAACTAACATTTCTCTACATCCAGCAACATCCTGAAGCACTCAGGCAGTTGGACTAGATGATTGTTGTATGCCTCTTCCAACTGAAACATTCTAGTCTAACAGCTTTTTACATTGCTAGGAAAAATCATCTTGACTAAAGTAATTCACATTTCTTTGTACATGTGACTTGTTACAGAAGGAAACTTCACACATCCAGATACATTCTTTTTCCAACAACAACAAAACAGTTTTTAAAAAACTAATTTAATATTATGCATTTTGGGTGTAAAATAAAAGGAGTCACTGAAATTTGTTTTGATATCCACAAAATATTAAATATTGTAGCTAAGAAACAACTTCAGTTATCACGTTTTAGGATGTGGATGGGTTTCTACTTTTATTAAGCGGCATGAACTATTTAAAAATAGAACCATAAAATTTAAGTTCAAAACTTCTCGTATAAGGCATCATAAATATAGTGGTTTAATCCAACCATGTGTAAGAACTGGAGAAACCTCTAATTCAAAGCAGAATATATATGCAATTTATAAATGGAACAATATAAATAATATAAAATGGTCATGGAATAATTTTAACATCTACATTTCAAAAGGTTATCATTTCCCAAGTAAGGACTGAAGATTGATTTCTTATGCCATTTAATGAATCCAAAGTCAAACGGTGCTGGGGAACACACAACCCCTTTCTACATAGAGTTCTTACCTCCTCTTCTTCCTCTTCCTCCTTCTCCTTTTCCTTCTCCTTCTCTTTTTCTGGCAGAAGTTCTAGCTCTGGTATTAGCTGGCAGATATTTTGGGGCTCCTCTGGAGGCATTTCTACAGGTGGTATTTCCAGCTGTTGTGATGGTGGATGCTTTAAGAGTACAAAATACAGTTAAACCGATAGCATCATTTCATCAGTGCTTTTACAATAGAATGCTGATGCTACAAACCAGTGTCACAAAATCCAATTCTGTACATCTTAGCCATTTGTCAGAATTTTTTGTTTTTGAAAAATGAAGTGCAATTTGTTTTGTTATGTTTTGCCATCCATACATGTATTTTTAATCCTTTAGATTTTACTCAAACCAGAAATTATGATACCACTATACTGGGAAAAAGGCTTTCCAATAACTTCACTGAGTCCACCATCCAAACTACTGATCTCACTTCTTGGATCAGCACACACAGCTTTAAAATCCCACGTAACCAGATGCAGTGCTACATGGACACACTTTAACTCACTGGAACGAGACATCTTCAAAATACCAAAACGTTGTTCTTTGCAATACAAGCGTGAAGGAATTAAAACGTAGGTACTGTGTAAAGTTTCCAAAAAAATCTATGAGTGACTTTAGTGCTCAAATATCACTCTCAGAAGATATTTATATCAAGAGGAAAATCCAGAAAAGCAGTTTAACAGGATTTAAGTAGTCAGTTTTAATAAAATTAATATACAGTATTCTCCCCCTGAATCTATACACAATTAAGTGTTTGCCAGTAAAGTTACCTTGACACCTGAAACTGTTTCTACACATACCCTAAAACACAGTTCACAGTAACTTCTGTTTTAGTCATACAGCAGCTATCGCTAAGTTGCTAGACGCCTGATCTGCTTGCTATGATCAAAGAATTCCCAACACACACCAAAAGCATTGACTTCAGCACAAACAGTCGATGCCAATTTCACCTAATGACATGGCCAAGAGGACCAGCAGCTGCCACAGTTTTTAATAAGATAATGTAACATCTAACAATCTCATTCCACAACAAACAACCTGTTAGCTAAGAAACATGCGAAACGTGGGGTTAAAAAATGCACAAATATGAGAAAGACAGCATAAAGCAAGACTGTTCTCACCAGGTAAGCATTCAGAAAAAGAATACACCTTTCATTTTGCCTATTTCCTCTACCCTTCACAAATATGGTTTCCTTTCACACAGCATCACAACTTTTATAGAAGAGGTAGACGTGAGCTAGTTTCCAAGTCTACTCGTAACTCAACTAAGAAATCTTTCCTGAAGATCGAAGTTTTTCTTTGAACCTTTAACCCTGGAACAGTATGACTACCTTTAAAAGGAAGTTTGTGCAGCTCGCACAATCCTTTCTTTGTCAGTGAAAGCTGTTTGTATACGCTTGCCAAGCAGAAGAAGTTGATAACTTTGTAAGCAATACACTTTACTCCTTGAAGAATTTTTCTGGAGGAAGTCACTGCTATGTTTTCACCCTACCTGCATTTTAAATGTTTTAGTAAGCTTTCCACTTAAGAAAAACACTATAAAGACTACCCAGAGACAAAAATTCTGATACTACTCCAGCATATCTCACACCACCCCAGAAAGCTAGTACCTCAAATCTCTTTCACTTCCTGCTCAAAGACACTACCCACCCCTCATTCTGCATACTCACTCCTCCC